AGCATTTTATACACCACATTTTCCAAACACACTAGAAAGGACTTACAAGTGCAAGATGCTTTTTTTTTTTTGCTTTGTTTACTATTCAGTTTTGTCTTGTACAGCCCATTTTTGCATGTAATATCACTATGCAATAAAACACTATCTACATAAAACAACTTTAAATATGACAATGCATGTATTGTCTTTGATTGAAATGGTGTTGATAAATGACATTGAAACTGGGGAATCCAGTTGATGAATTGGGATCCTACCAAAAGGCCACAGCTACTGCCCCTTTGAGATCTCTTTTAAAGCTTTAAAGGAGAACATTGTGAGATTGTTAGAGTTTTTGTCTCAGAAGACAAGTTTAAGAAGCAGGAGACTCAAGCAAAAATCTCCATTCGATCTTAAAGTAACCTAATTTCTCTCTAGGAGACATATTTGAGATGTTAAAGAGATCTCACTTTTGATTTTTCTTTCCTATGGGCAGCCACTGGAACAATCAGACAGGAAGCAAACAGGGGCATTCAGACTATATGGTGCATGACACTCCTAAACTAGCCAGACTTTTCCCTCACGGTATCAAGCCTAGTCCACAATGCAGCTTATTTTGGCTAAGAAAATGCCTATTTAAGAGATGGTCTGACCAAAATTGATATTTTATGTGGCCACTGAGGGCGATGTTTATCTGAAAGGGATTTTTCTTGTACATAAAACATTGGAAATGTCTACAGACCTTGTGATGAAGATCGTTGTCCACCCAAACTAACACATACAATTTATTTCCCAGACTTACAAACAAAGCAAAATATGCAGTTCTGCTTGTTTACTTGCTATTAAGTGCTTCAAACATTTTTTTTTTCATCGATTTGATTCCACTAACCTGATAGATTCAAGATAAATTCAGTCATTAGTTCTTTCTGATCGACCCAGTGCCTTTTAGGTGGATTGATAAAACAATAAATAATGGAATATGTGTTCCTTTATTTCAAAATGTTTCATAAAGCCAGCCAGTCGCATTAGTCAGTAAATGTATATATGAAGAGTTTGGTTCCAAAACGCGATAAATGCCATATTTTAAAAATTGAGTTTCTGCCAAAATCAGTATTGTATCTGGTCGGTATTGAAAAATCAGTTTTTAATTTTACGCAAAATGCGATATCCGCCGAGTTATTCTGTCATGTTTTCTCCCTTTCTTTCCAAACCGCGACAAATGCCAGTCTCCCTTCTCTGCAGAATGTGATATATCCGCTCAACCAATCACAGCGCACCATTTCACGCACTCTAGACATTAATGGCGGTGCTTTGAATACACCCAGCATCCTAGTTTTCCTCATCTACTTTGTACTTTGTGATAAACAAACAAACTTAGGGCTGCACGATAAATCGCATGTGATTGTCATGCGGAACTCGTCAGTAAAGCCGGTTCTGTGATTAATAGTAAATCTCCATCACGTGCTTTCAGATGGATACACAGAGCCGTAGATCATTGACAAGCTATGCAATATCGCATTCATAATCGCAGATGAGTTGCATTCGATTATGAACGCGATATTGCGTAGCTTGTCAGTGTAAGTGTTTTTATTAATGTCATTTATGTTTTTGTTAATACAGCGTATAGCACTAGTCAACTAAATGTAACATGGCAAAGATGAATGCACTTTTGGAAGTTGAATGTAAGGAAAATGTCATTTTGGAATTTCTGTGGTCTAATGTGATGTTGTTCATGTTCTTTTATTGCTGTAATTCATTTATAGCATTAACAAGATGACCCGTTGAATTCATTTTGGGAGCGATGACTGATTGAATGTATTTTTAGTCCAGTGCCTGCATATAATATTAGTATTGACCAAGTTAATATGTGGATTAACTATGTTGTGTATTTTCAACAGTTTCAATATGAAAAAAATAACTTTTATATTGATTCAATGGATCTATTGCATTTTGAAAAAAAAAAATGTGTCATGGATTTATTGCATTTTGGGGAAAAATAATAATAACATTTTATAATAAATATTTGAAAATCAAAATCTGAATTTGAAATTTTAATGTTATTATAACCTAAAGATGCTATGTGAAAGTTTGAAACAGAAAATAGTGGTTTTCATCTTGCCACATTCTTGGTAAAGAAAACACATTTTTACTCAAATTAATCAAAATGGATTTATAGCGTTTTGGAACCAAACTCTTCATATTATATATATATATGGCTTGTATATGGCTTTTATACTGCTGTAAAGATTTAATCCCTGACGTTTTAGGGTCTGCCTGTGGCCAGCCGTTTATGTGGAGGAGAAATGTAGCACAGAAGATTCCTTCATGTCAGTCTGTCTCCAAAATCTGCTACTGTGCTCTATAATGCTCTGTCTTTTTTATCGTTGGTTATGTCCACACCCTATTGTTGCTCTATGCAGCACTTGCTTTATTCCATCCCTGCTGTGTCTACATTTAGAGGCACTTAAAGGCTTCAAGTGTCAAGAGGTTCTTAAAAAACTACACCAAACCCCACCCAAGGCAGACAACAGCATTTTTAACTAAACCTTTCTCTCTTGATTTGTTTGTTACTCTTTCATGTTTTTTTTCTGCTGTGAGCTTGCAGGGCATGAAATGGCAATATTACATTTCTCCACCTTTCTTTCTTATTGCAGACCGGAAGAAAGGAAAAAGGAGACCCATTAAATTCAGCTATTGACAAGATGACCAAGAAGACCCGTGATCTTCGCAGACAGGTGAGTCAGTCCTCTGTCTGCTGTCTTTCTAGAAAATAAGAAAATAAAAAGACTATGACCACTACATTGAAAGAAAGTGATATATTATCTCTTGTCATTCATTTTTTTTTTTTATGAAACATTGTGTTACATGGAAACACAAAAGGACATAAATAAGGGATGAGAGGATGGTGATTGTAACTGTCAAGCTCCAAAAAGCACATAAAAGTATCATAAAAGTTGTATATAAAAGTTGACTTGTGCACTATATTATGATAGCTTTGTGTAAGGAAGAGACTGACATTTAAGTCGTTTTTCACTGAAGCTCTTCCGCTCTGCCATTTGAGTCCCTTTACAATAGCATCGCACTTTAAGAACCACTGGTTTACTGAATCATCTTTTCTGAAGCATCAGGTATTAACATTTGCACAAGGAAACATGAATATGTTTCCTTTGAGTCTGGAGATGATTCAAACCTTCAAATTAAAACAGACAAATGCTAAAAAGGGAGCTGTAATGCACACCACTGAACTCTTTGTTGTATTTTTACTCAGTGTTCAAGAAGACAAGTCTTTTGAGAACAGTTTAGGCTTAAATAACACCTCCTCACATTTCGGAACATCTGACTGTTGTGCATAAGAGCATCAAACACCAGTATGTCTCTAACTCAAGAAGCCGAGGTCCACACTCTTGACTTCAGCAATTAGCACAGCTTAAAAGCTCTTTTGATGCATTTTCTCTCTCCATCACCATGACAATGGAACAAAGTGTCAGATCGGTCAGCACTGATATAAACTAAAAACAGAGCCTAGACATAAAACTGCAAGGCATTAGACAGAAGACATAGGCATTCCTATCAGACTGGCATTCCCATCAGGAGAGTTTTTGCTGTAAACGTAATAGCGAATCAACATTACATTACACTATTATGCGATACTATTACCTGACATTTGCATCGAGGAAATTAAGTATTCTGTCTGCTCTTCAGTTTAAAGAACAAGGCTAGATAAATATTTCACTGGTTAAGAGAAACATAGGCACTCCTGTCAGCCCAGTTAGGGCAAGATTTTCAATATATAGCATCATAAATTTGACACATTGTTGTTGAATTACTTTAGAAGACTTGGCATACTTTTATGATACTTTTGTGGTGCTTTTTGTCATTCTGGAGTTTGATAGCACCCACACCCATTTACTACTTTTATTATAAGGAAAAGAGCAGGTAGGATATTGTTTACCAAAAAAAAAAAAACAATCTTGTGTGTTCCTTGTAAGAAAGAAAGTCATATTCTAGGTTTGAAATAGCACGAGGGTGAGTAAATGGTGACAGAATTTTCATTTTGGGTGAACTATTCCTTTCATAAACTCACCATACAACACATTCAGGTAGGGAAAAATTGTCCCTACACTCTAAGCATCAAGATGTCAGCTGTCAGAGAGCATACAATCACCATAGTCACCCTCAAGATTTCTTCACATGCTCTAGAAGATTGTTGTGTTCGACCATTCAAAACTTGTTTTGTGTTCTGGCAAAATAACTTTTTTTTTTTTTGCACTATTCTATTATAGTAGATGTTTTAACAGTGCCTGGTTATTTTTTGTACTGCTATTACAAGTTTGAAATGGACTCTTCCCTGTCTGCCTGTTTCCCTGTTGCTCATGCCATAACTCAGGATAGCCACTAGTGAAAGGTTTAAGACTGTGTGCGTTGTTGTGGTGCCATCGGCCAATCAACTGCATCATTGGGGCATTTTCACATCTGGCTTGTTTGGCAAGTTTGTTTCAGAACCTGGCACATATTCTTCCTTAGTTTGGTTTGTTTAGGCTTATATGAACACAACAGTCTTGTTTATTTAGTTTAGTCTTGCACCACTACAATCAGTCCAAGATCGTCTGAACAAGCCCTTTCAAGGAAAGTCTGTTCACTCAGTGTCCATATGTGCAACGTCTCCGGGCAGCTATTTCGGGCATCCAAGACCAAGTCCTATCTAAATGAATGGGAGAATCCTGAAATCTCAAAAACTGCTTGCCAAACTCACAATTGAATTGCATATATCAAATCAGCAACAAAATCTGAAATTGTCTGCCCCATAAATGTTGTTCCTTATGCTCAAATATCATTAAAAAGGCTTATTTTTCAGGCTAGACTAGCCAATGCGCAAGTCTCAGGTTTATATGGGAACCGGAGCTTCTAAGGGCCGCTGCAGTGACACAATGACTTTTCCAATCAGCGACTGGCTCTTTCACTTAGAAGGCGGGCATATTCTGCCGTATTGCACGTTGCAGTTTCTCTCATTCATAAGTAATAGAAGTGAACCGTCTTTGTATATCTATAGTCTTTGGAACAAGCTGGTCTCTGCCCAATTAAAAATAAACTCTGCAGCAGTCCAGTTGTGGTGAGAAAGCAATCTAACCCAACAGTGAACCGAACCAAGAAGAAAATGCCAGATTGCAACAATTTAAGGCCCTGTTTCCGAACAAAGCATACAGTCTAAGGTGTCTGAAAATGCACTTAGTCAGATGGCATTCTGAAGTGATTGGCTCACGTATTGGATACATAAATTGGATGCTCTCTCATATCCTGGTCTTAAAGGTCCCATATTGTCAAAACTGAAATTTCCTGACTTTTTTTGTTCTGTGGGGCCATGAGCAAGTGTAGCAGATTTTAAATCTCACACTTCCGGGTGGTCCTGGGACAGTTAAGATTAATATTAAGGCTAACAGATTGCCTTCTCCAGGTATTATAGACCTTCTTGGCCTCCCCCACTGAGAGAAGACCCTCTTTACCCCACATCACAGTAAATCCACAGAGAGAGCAACTAACATGGAATGGATGTTCGTTTTGAGCAGCCTGCTTTAATTACACTCTTGGACTTCAGGAGTGTGTTAGTGGGTGTATAAATCAGTCGGCGCAGAGGTTAAGAAGCAGTACACACACGCACACACACACGCACACACACACACACACACACACACACACAGCTGGAGTTAGCACATGAACATTCACCATTTACCCTCCCCCCGGTTTGTACAGTCTTTTATAATTGGAAAACATCTTTTAAAATCTTCCCACTCCCACCCCCTTCACCAAGACTGTAAATTTGATTGGGCGCATTTTCAGACTCAGCAGTCGTACATCACCTCCCTCGTTTCTGCTCCTCTGCACTCCTTCCCCCCTCGCTGAACCCCACGGCTGTCGCATTCCCGCATCTTCTGTCACCCGCTTCGCTGGACCAATATTTAGAAAGCTGTAAACTTTTCCTGACACATGTATTGTAGTTACATGTCAGCTGAGGGAACCGGCTGTTTACAGATTTGCCAGGCCACGCATTTTTAATCCTCTTAAGACATTTATTTCATGATCTTTCATGGTCTGGGGGGGGGGGGCAAGATGTTTCCCTCACGGATGCATGGAGATTTTATGGTACAGTAGAGTGGTTTAAAGGAAATTAAAAGTGTTTGATAGCCCTGATTTACCCCGGCTTACTCCACTCAGGCGTCATCTCTCATAATTCTGGCTGATCACTTCCTGTTTCCTCTGCTGGTGAGCTCCATATGCTCTTGCATCTGATAAACCACCTCTCACCTTTACAACATGTCGCTAGAATCTCATCACAAAACAAATTACATTTTAATCACTTTAATGGGGTTTAAGATCCCGAAAGAAAAAAAAAACTTGCCAAGGGATCATGGAGGATTCTAAGCAAGTTGTGGACCAAGCTGTTGATGTTTTTGATGTGAAATCCTTGCACATATGTTGGATGTTCTCATTATGTATTTTAATTTCAGAGAGTGATCTGTGAGCAGCACTCACCTGCTGTGATTGTTCTGTTGTTTACCGGCCTTACAGAACACCCGCCACAGACTTTATTACAGCAAAACAGCCCAAAACAGCTCTAAAATTAATTACAAATTGTTATTGGGTTTTATTAGTTGATTGCGGGAAAATGGTACATTTCCTTCACTAGCGCAGGAGTTAACTGATGCACAACTCTAGAACGCAATACAACCTGTACGGCACGCTGTGGAACATGTGATATTTGCGTACATTTGCATGCATAGATCTGGGTAGACATATGTGCTGGTAATGGCATGGTTTGTGTGTGTGTACACGAGTAATTGCATTTCCTTCTCAAGGCTCAGCCACTGAAGATATAAGATGCGAACCTCTGTGATCCGCTCAGGGCTTTTCAGGCCCCTCAGTCAAATGAATGGAGGCATCGCCATCTCATCAAATCAGTCTCACCGGGGGAACATCCGAGCGAGTTCTGAGTTATTACTGTCTACCTGGCAAGAGAATATACCACCCCGACCAGTGCAAATCAAGCAATAACAGTGAGCCCTGTTCACAATTGCAGACATTGCAGAGGACCTCGCCGGATGATTTTCGTATTGCCCTTGCTGCTTAATCTGTGTTGTATTACATTTGCACTGTTTAGGTTCGGCATGGATTTATGAATTGTTTCTTTTTTTTCAGAGAGACAGACAGACAGACAGACAGATAGATAGATAGATAGATAGATAGATAGATAGATAGATAGATAATGTAACAAATGCTAGTTGTTAGTTCATTTTAGTTAATTAGTTAATGCATCAACAAAAGTTAACTAATCTAACATTATTGTAAAGTTACACTCTAAAAAATGCTGGGTTAAATACAACCCAGTGCTGGGTAAAATAGGGACAAACCCAGCAATTGGGTTGTTTTGACCCAGCGGTTGGGTTAAATGTTTAACCCAACCTTCTGGGTAGTAA